CTTGGCTGAACCAATGACCATATACAGGATTTAGGAGCAAGCACAGAAACAACTGGGATAGGTCTTGTTGTTGTCCAAGCACTTTACTGGGACCTACCCTGAGTGACCTGAAATGGTTTCAGGTGAAGAATTTGGGGTGGCTAACCCTGTAGTATATACATGTTTGGATTGTTTAATCCCGAGACCAATTTCCATGACAACAGGGTAAATCATGTAATGTGTGTATATTTAATGTTGACACATATTTTCAGTGAGACCATCAGATGATGTTTGCCACATATTTTTCAAATATCGTTGATTATTAACATGCATCTGAAATCAGCCCAATTGTCCAGTTTTTTAGACACTGTCCTGTAACTAGGTGTCAAATGCATTATATGTGGCACAGGTAAGTCCAGAGTCTACCCCACTCCTTAGTGTAAACATGGTAGATTTTGGCAATCAAGGGCAATAGCCTTTATAGGTCAAATGCAAGGTGAAGAACAAAATACACATCAAAGTATAAAACACTGGGTTAGTTTGTGCTTTAGCCTTTAAACTTACTGTCAGCCAGTTACAACAATAGCTAAATGGCCAAAACAGGTTTTATATTATTAAATTTATTAAATGTTCATATATTCACTGATATTTTGCATACTATAAAGCAGTCATGCATGTTTAATATAGGCCTTTTTATTGGTAAAATTTTAGGAACTAAGAAACCTACAATAAAATATTTTCTAGTTATAAATTTTCTCCTCTGAGGTAAAAGGTATCATCAGTACAAATAAATAGTAATTTCAACATTCCATATAAATTCAATGTATTATTAAAATATTTATATTAAAATTAAAAGATTCAAGAATAAGACAGTTTCTTTGACTTTGCTTGGTCAGTTTCTCTTTCAAACTGCAAAAAGGCAGTATATTTCATGATGTGCATCCAGCACCAGACATATATTTTCAACCATTTGAAATAAATCGTTATTTTTTTTAGAATGTTCAATAATCTCGAGTTCTCTCATGACCAGCAGACTTTCTAATTTCGAGAGGCTGGTCTCCTGAGGTCTGAGGAGACCTTTAATTAAAATACCGTTTTCGAGGAAAAATCCTTATTATCAACGCAGTGATGATCATTTGGACATAAAATCTTTCCCAAATGTACCGCTCGTTAGGCAAGCCTTTCAATTTCATTTATATAGTACAGCAATTTCCTTCTTTGCATTCTCATGTCCGCCATGTTTGTTACAAATTCTGCCAGGCGCCTCGCTTCCCAAGTCCTCCCCAAGCACCCCCGCGCGCTCGCTCAGCCACTGATCTATATAAAAAACTGTAGTGTTGCTGTTTTTTAGTACGTTATTTGCGCCTGGCTACGAGGCTGACAGAGTAGACACATATGTCTTATCTACTCTGTGGACAACCTCGTTCCCAGGGTCTCTCCGTCTGTCATCTGGGAGAGACCCTGGCTGCGGCTGGTCACGTGCCTCCCAGATTCTGGGAGGTAAATTTAATTGTAACTGTGAGAGGGGTGGGAAAGGAGAGTGTTTGTAGCGTTTTAAAATTGCAACTTTGGGTGATGAAATTTACTGTTAAATTTGCAACAAGAAATCGTAATTATAAAGAGAACTCTTGAATTATATTTATGTCGTGACGTTCTACTCTATAATCTGGTGTCGAGTTACAATTCAAGCAAGTTGGATCAGATTTCATTATAGACTTGCCAAAGAAAGCACGCTTGCCGCTTGTGCAGCGTGGCAATATTAAACTGTGATTAAACCTACAAGAAAATATATATCTCTAGACCGAACAGTGTGGTTGTTATTTATTTAGTATTAAAGTTTATCCTGATACTCGGACCAAAAGAATTTATTTATTGATGAGATGTGGAATTGCAACGAAATAGCGAGATCTTTTGATTTCCGAAATATCGCCAACTGTATCCAGATTGTTGATCTATATAAAGGCCTTATCAAAAAAACTTAAAGCCCGTCAAAAGACTATAAAATTGGCCCTTGGCATTGCTGAATCCAACGATCATGGTATATGTCAAAGTATAGCTGTCTGTTGAAAATCTACGGTATTAAAATCATACACCAAAGATAAGTCAAACGGCAAATTATATGTCACTATATTATACATGTCTTTCAATGAGCACTGTTTGGTAGTGTTCACCACCTTTATAAATTTTGTAAACAGCTTTCGTTTTGACATGAATAAGCTTTAATTTTTTGCTTTATATGCATTCTTAATATATACAAGTGAGATTTAAATTTTTGCTTTGTGAAATAGAATACCGTTATTTTTTAATGGACAGCTTGCATCGTCTATATCATATCCAGGATTGCTTGTGTGTAAACGCATTATTCACTATATGACATTGACACTATCAAATAAATATAAGTAGCAAATGATTAATGAGTTAGAGATAAACAGGTGATTCACAATGAAAACTTTAAAAATGTTAGTAGAAGTAGAAAACTCGAAAATTTATGTCTATTCGTATGACGCCAAATGACGGTCTGTGCGCATCTGACACTGTAAATTTGTGATATAGATTATAGTATATTAGCACAATATAATGATTAATAGAAACCAAAAAAAGGCTAAAGTCTTACTATAATTACCGAATACGAATTATGTACTAAATCCAGATAAACCAATGACTGAAATTTCCTCTATACTTACAGGCATTTCTCTGTTCGGCTATTATCAAATGTTTACATTTGCTAATATTTGGGCAGTCCTAATCTCCTAGACAATACTGTTTCTTTTAAAAATCTTATAAACAAGACGCGTAGTAACAAGTGAATCGGTGCAAAGCGTATCAACGTTTACAAGAAAGGACAAATGTAATGGCCTATTTTAAAAACATTACAACAAACGTTTGTTATAACCGCGCTCGAGTGTGAAGAGAGCATGCATTGAATAACAACACGAGAGAGCACTGCGAGTAACGATTCGCTTGGTTTCTTGGCTTGACTGTAAGTAAGAATGTAACAATGTTCTTGTAAATTCAAAGCAAAGAAAATAAACAAAAATTAGCAAGTATTTTGAACGTAATAATTCGCAAAATCTATGTTTTTAACGAATATCCCACTAGAAGCATGTTGATGTAATTTGATACTTTCCCCACACCCCCTCAGGCGCTAAATTTTTGATGAAGCACGTGACCAGCCGCAGCCAGGGTCTTTCCCAAAGAAAGATCCTGGGTACGAGGTTGCTCTGTGGATGGGTGGTCATCCTCACTGATCTCAAAAATATGGCGGACTGTCATGGATAGCGAACACTGATTGGTCAAATTTAAAATTTGTTGTTGTATGACAAATGACGACTTCAACTGACAGATACTTCATGAAAATAATTTACTTTTTACACTACAGTATTTTGTACCCTTGCAAAAAACTTTGACAGCTTTCAAAGCAATTTGTTCTATAAAAAGTTTAATAAAACAATTACGGTATCAAATACTAATTGAAAAGATATGGAGCCAAATGAAGAGCCGCAAGGAAACGACAAGAAAGCCGAACGTCTAGCGAAAAGGAGGGAGCGAAGACGACAACGTTTGCTCGAGGAGACTGCTGAGGAAAGAGACTCGCCTGGGAAAGCGTAGAGAAGCATGGAAAAAAAGACTGCTGAAGCGAAAGGTAAGCAAAGGCTTGTCTTCACAATAAAGAGTTTGTCATGACACGCTCAAGTCAGTATAACCATGCAGACTGTATTTTATTTATATCACCTCAGTTATCACAGCCACAGGCAATTTTATGCTGTCAAATACCGTCGGTTGCATCTAAGGGTGAACAGTTGCAGATAAAACATTCTCTATTGTCATTAAAAAGCCGGTAAAAGTTTCCAGTAGGTCTCTAGCCCAACACGTTCAGACCACACAAAGTTTTGTTACTTATTATTGTACACATGGGAAACAACAATTAAGTGTTGTTGTTCTTGACAAACATTGAAGATTCTAATCACGCGAATGTTTTTATGAGCGACTGTTCATCGTTAGTTGCCAGCGACGGTACAACATACTATGAACATTTTTCCGACAGTGACCGAATGTGCAACGATACATTTTTCAAAGTTGTTATCAATTCCTAAAATTTGTTTATAGTAAAACGGCCTGCTCAGCACTCACTACTCACGATGATTTCATTTAGAAATGCAGTTACCAGGAAAGGAACTGATTCTAAAATATGTAAATTTAAAAGCATCTAACAGAATAAAGCGATGTGAAGACAAGGTACAAACTTTTATAGTTGCTATTTGTTATAAAATCCTATAAATAAACCGATTTCAACAATAATTTTGCCTCGAATTTGCATATTCTATGCCGCATGTTTATATTTTATTTTTATAGTATAAAAATAAAATTGTATAAATACTATGAAATAAAATACATTTCTGTTTATTGACCATGCAGTACTTATTTAATGTCTTCTTCATCCAGTGGTCAGAGTAAATTTCTACTTCTAGCAAGTAAATATTTGACAAGCAGTCTGGAATAAGCACAAGACTTTTAATGCATCAGCCAAATCCAAGTGTGCCCCTCGCCCAGCCATTTTCCTGTAAAGCACATCCCGGGGGTTGGGCATTTCCACTCGAACCTTAGCCCCGGCTGGGCATTTGAAATTAATAATTTGGATTCTTGCACTTCACTTATGGAATTAATATTAGAATGTTAGGGTTTGTAATCCAAGTGAGAATATATACATGTATATATTTTGTAATCCAAGTGAGAATATTTTGTAACCAAGTGAGAATATACAAAATTAATGTATAGTACATGACAGTGTATATATTTTGTGTATATATTTTGTAATTCAAATGAGAATAGTTTGTAATCCAAGTGAGAATATACAAAGTTTATGTAATATATATTCTCACTTGGATTACAAACCCTAACATGCTAATTTTAATTCCACCAAGTGAAGTGCAAGAATCCAAATTATTGAAGTCCACCTTATCACAACCCGCACACCCGATTACCTAAATATACATGAACTTACGGTTAAAGCTGAACAGCTGGCCTCTGTAGCTCAGTTGGTTAGAGCGCTGCACCGGAATCGCAGGGTTGTAGGTTCAATTCCTACCAGAGGACCTTGTGCTTCATTTTTCGCAGTCGTCCCTGGTTACAGTAGGTCTTAAAATGTATATATTCTCACTTGGATTACAAACCCTAACATTCTAATATTAATTCCAACAAGTGAAGTGCAAGAATCCGATCCAAATTATTGAAGTCCACCTTATCACAACCCGCACACCCGATTACCTGAATATACATGAACTTACGGTTAAAGCTCAACAGCTGTCCTCTGTAGCTCAGTTGGTTAGAGCGCTGCACCGGAATCGCAGGGCCGTAGGTTCAATTCCTACCAGAGGACCTTGTGCTGCATTTTTCGCAGTCGTTCCTGGTTAGGTCTTAAAATGTATATATTCTTACTTGGATTACAAACCCTAACATTCTAATATTAAGTCCACCAAGTGAAGTGCAAGAATCCAAATTATTGAAGTCCACCTTATCATAACCCGCACACCCGATTACCTAAATATACATGAACTTACGGTTAAAGCTCAACAGCTGGCCTCTGTAGCTCAGTTGGTTAGAGCGCTGCACCGGAATCGCAGGGCCGTAGGTTCAATTCCTACCAGAGGACCTTGTGCTGCATTTTTCGCAGTCGTTCCTGGTTAGGTCTTAAAATGTATATATTCTTACTTGGATTACAAACCCTAACATTCTAATATTAAGTCCACCAAGTGAAGTGCAAGAATCCAAAATATTGAAGTCCACCTTATCATAACCCGCACACCCGATTACCTAAATATACATGAACTTACGGTTAAAGCTCAACAGCTGGCCTCTGTAGCTCAGTTGGTTAGAGCGCTGCACCGGAATCGCAGGGCCGTAGGTTCAATTCCTACCAGAGGACCCTGTGCTGCATTTTTCGCAGTCGTTCCTGGTTAGGTCTTAAAATGTATATATTCTCACTTGGATTACAAACCCTAACATTCTAACATTTGAAATTAAGGATTTGGAGGTTTGGCGATCACTGTTAACTTGATAATAATATAAAACAAAACACTTCTATCTGCAACTTTTACAATCACTAATAACTTGATATAATTTAAACCAGTCAAGTTGTAGTTTAAATAGAGAATAATACATGGGTGCACGAAATACCAGACTTATTTCGAGTGTTGAACAAGAGTGTGCAGCGAACAAGTGAGCGCAGCGAACGAGTGAGATGTCATGTTCAACACGAAAAATAAATCTGGTATTTCCAACCACCCATGTATTTTTCTGTTTATTATATAAAGGAAAGTCTTAAATGAAAAGCGATAATTTTTACAGAAAAGCGATAATTGAAAAGGCGATAATTTTCACATGTGAGATTATCATGAATAATTTCACATGTGAGATTATCATTTTTATCAGTGCTCGAAATCTCTGTAAAACACTATACTTTATATAATAAAAATTCATAAATTTGAACCATGCTAGAGAATGACAACAGCAAAATGCTCTATAGTATGATGCACAATATTTTTGGGAGGTGAAATGTACACGAACAATAAATCAGAGAGTGTTTGCTTGGAACTCACCTTGTGCAACACCCCTGATAATTGCTCAGGAGGAATTTCAGGTAGATTTCCAGTGCACTTTTAGGTAAATTTAAGTAGATTTGCAGAAGATTTTCAGGGGAATTCAGGTAATTCCCAGGACATGAGAAAGTGAATTTGGAAAACAACTGTATTTTCGGAAAAATTATTATAAATTATTATATGTCCTGAAAATTTTTTGTACATCTAGAAACATTTTGGTACCCCCCCCCCTATCTAACCTCACACACACCCTCAGACGAAGTGCTCGCAACGGCACTGAGTATACATCTCTTGAAAACAGGCGAGGGGTTATTGCATGCATGTATTTCTAGTATTCTTTGTAATCACTCCTAATCGTCAATCGATAACCCACAATCGGCACCTAGTGGCTAGTCAAATAGACAACTTGCATGTTAGACTAATTTTTTATCTAGGCAAAAAAAGAAAATTACCGAAAAGGAACTTATTCAAATTAGTAAAATTGCAATATTTGGTTACGAAATGTTGTAAAATACGGAAAATATAGCCTTGCGAAGTTTGCATGTTTTGTATATGTTTGTATTACGTGCGGAAATTGTTGCCATTAATTTCTGAGCCGAAAATGGTAACACTCCGCACGTAATACAGACATATACAAAATTTGCAAACTTTGCAAGACTATATTTTCCAAGCTTTAGAACATTTCACAACCAAAGTGTGCAATTTTACTAATTTCATTGTGTTCTTTTTAGCTGTGGTGTTTAATTCCCTTCTCTTTACGTGTACTTAGGTTAAAATTATGTCTAACATGCAAGTTGTCCATACAACTGACATACAATTGGAGGAACTCTGCCTGGCATAAAGGTGTCGCCAAAAACATGGTGGATTTGACGCCATTACCATGACGACTGGTCCCTAAGTTAATATCACTGGTGGACCCAGCCCATTGACCGGCAACCACGATCCTAAGCTTCCGACAACGTTCATCACTCCCCCCCCCCTCCCTTGATCCACCTCCCCGCCCTTATCTCAGCGCAAAATTTTGTGATTTCCGTTTGTTTTTTAGTTGAAAATCTCGCGGAGAAAATCTCCCGTTTGTTTTTTAGTTGAAAATCTTTAGTTGAAAATCTTTACAACGGAAAAGCTGCCTTTTTGCTCCACTCATAGTCGTAGATGTATGTGAATTCACCATATATACAAGAAGAATACTTTTATTCACCGGTAGAATTTTTATCATATTCTAGCTTGCTAGAATGATTTTTATACACTCTCGGATGAAAATTAAGATATATATGTAGCACAAACATCAAATATAACAGCAATAGCAGACATAACAAACGATTAGAAATGCTGTAAATTTTATTGTTCTTTTGATTTAACACTATAGCCATTATGTTTCATACGATTTTTAGGCTGGTTATGATCAGGGCCAGGGGCACATTTATGCTATGAGAGTTGTTTAATCCACAAGCCACAAATGTCTAGTGTAGTAGACGGGAACATTTTTTCATCCATATTCTTCAACTCCGTGCCGGAATGTGCAGCCAAATCGCCATGGAATTTCCGAGCCTCGATTTTGAACATTTTCCCCGGAGACCAAGTAGTTTTCACCGTTCCTATTATACTAAGCTTTCGTTGGTGAGGATGCAACTACCTGGAAACCGACCTCCCCAGACGAAGGGCCTTCGCTCGAAATGTCGAAATCCTCCTTGTATATTTTCAGGTACTGTAGTTGCATCCCCACCAACGAAAGCTTGTTCACTTTATTGGCACTACCTACACTGGCTAAGACAGTTCGATGTTACGTAATGTATGAACAACGAGAGCGAGTGTTTCATTGGGATATCCTAACACGAGAAAACAATGTTTGAAAACACGAACGCGAAGCGCGAGTGTTTTCATACATTGTTTTCGAGTGTTTGGATATGCCGGTGAGACGCGAGCTCGAGTTGTTTATATGGCTTCTCAATAATGAATCGAGACGTAACAGAATGTTTTCGTTTGCAGATTTGAATAGAATTCTTAAGCAAACTTAACGTAATTAGGAATTCTATTCAAGTAATTTTGCATGCGTAATTAAGATATTTGATGAAAACAAGTTTCACCGGGTTATCCAAATGGCATCTTGTGATCTAATAGGCAGAGACGTAGCCAGGGCTGTGGCCGGGGGGCCCGGTCCCCTTTGACAAAATTTTGGGGCCCCATCCTGATAAAATGTATTGTATAAAAAGGGAATCCTTGATTATATAGCTTCATGCTGTCAATAATGGAAAATTTTGGTAGAATATATGCTTTGCTGCGCATTGGTGTGAAATCTAAAATCTTGTTCGCTTATTTGCGGCACACAGCATGAAACACATATCTTTTCTAACCCTAATTATTTCAATATGTATTAAATGAAGGTTAGATGAATTCTGTTTTTTTACCAGTTAATTTTTAACGCGGGTTCGGCAGTGGCGCTGGGGGGGGGGGACCCGTTGGAAAATTGAGACCCGTCGGAAAATTGTCAATGTTGTCGGAATCTTCGTGGTGAAGCATCGGAAAAAGTGATATGGAAATCGGGAAAAGTGCTACGAAAGCAATTGTAATGTTATTGTCCGGAAAATTTTTTTTCTAAAAAAGTTGTCGACAGGGGAAGGGGGTGGGGGGGGGACTTTAAAATGTTGTGATCCGGAAAATTTTTTCCTGCGCGAACTTTGCGTCTCGAGTCACTGGCGGCTTGGCTCCATCTGGGTTTTTGCTGGCCCCCCCTGACCAAAAATCCTGGCTACGCCTCTGCAAATAGGTGATTATCATCGGCTGAATTGCTCATGAATTATTAATGAATTTAAGAAAGTTAAATCATGTTCTGCGTGCCGTCTTGGCACTTGGCTGAAAATCTTAACTGTGGTTCCCAACTTTGATGCAACTGATTAACCTCACTCAAAATAAAACCTGTTCCGCTGCCACTGGTTGTAGTGTACAAGAAAGTCGGTCACATATTGTTCGAACCCCCCTCCCCCCAGCAATTTGTTGAGTGTGCGCCACTTGTTTATGATATCAAAATCCTTAACTGTGCACACGTGAAAAATGCATGCATGATGTAAAGGATGGTTTACCGTACACACGTAAAAACGAACAAGTTGTCACAAGTCTGCAAACAAGTTGTTACAAATCTGTTCACAAACTGTCAACAAGTTGTACGTGTTCCCACTGCTTGTTCCAAGACCCAAGTTGTTGTAACAAGTTTGGAACAAGCTGTTAACAACTTGTAACAAGCTTGATGGCATTATCAGATTTGTCACAAGGTCGTTCTAACAAGTCTGATACGGTCATGATAAACAAGAATGTTACAAGGTTTACGACACAAGGTTGTAACAACACTGCTAATCATGACTGTATCGGACTTGTTGGAACAACCTTGTAACAAGCCTGATAATATCAACAACCAGGTGATTTGACGGTGAGCAAAAGGACTGGGACTAGCAACAGAATAGAAATCCAGTTTCGTACTTTTAATCACTTGTCACGCCCTGATTCTTTTATGAAACTGTTTGAAACTTTGTGCCTGTGTCTTGCACAGGGAAATGAATATCTGGAACAAATTAGAGATAGAAATCTAATACCGTTAATGAGATATTGAGTAATTTTAAACCAGAAATGGATTTCTATTTTACAGCTAGTGCCAGGCCTTTTCCGATTTCCGAGATCACTTGGAAGGTTCTTACAAATTGTTAACAGATTGTTCCAAACTTGTTGACAACTTGTGCCAAGCAGTGCAAAGACTTGTTGACGGTTTGTTGACAAACTTGTTACAACATGATGTTTGTGATGTTACTCTGAGTGTATATCCACACCAGGCGAGCTTGAAAAATATGCTCGGCCACGAGCATTGGTCTAGTATTCCAAAGGTCGTAGGTTCGATTCCCACCGTGGCCGGGCATATTTTTCAAGCTCGCCTGGTGTGGATATACACTCAGAGTAACATCACAAACATCATATTCACCTGAGTACACAACACCAACATGGCACAGAAAAAATCTTGTTACAACATGTGAGATTTTTACATCTGTAATCACAGTAGGAATTTTCCAAAGGAAAATGCCGAAGGCGAAGGAAGTATACGAAATGTTTGAGGGAATTCACTGACTCTGAAGGCGGTTTTCCACTAGGCGAAATTTTTCGACCGAATCGAAATTTTCCCCTTTTGTCCCATAAGCACTCAGATGGAACTAAACAGAAATCGTATGAATTTGAACAATAGAAATTTCGGTTCGATCGAAAAATTTCGCCTAGTGGAAAACCGCCTTGAGTCCGTTCCTTCAAACATTTCTTACAGATCCTTCAAATCTTAGATTTTATCTATGAAAAATTCCTGTCTGCGATGATCACAGAAACTTTGATAGTGTAAACCAGGTAGTAAATAACGTGGCGTAGCAGTTTGAACTATTTCCAGGGGCGCCGGAGCCACGGAGGCAGCGGGGGCAGCTGCTCCCATTGCCTAAACAGTACGGGGGCAGCATGTTGCCTTTTTACCAAAACTGCACTTCGAACGTCATGTGTTTTTCACATGAATTGAAATTGAAAACTGTTTTCAAACAATTTAGCTCATACTTGAATCTGAATTCCTCTCAGAAACGTTACGAATCAGTTTCCACCTAATATGAAAAAAAGTAAAAAAGGAAACCTTCCTAAATAACTGATAACTGTCATCTTGCTTTAATACATTTTTTACATTTTTCCAATCTATGCCGAAATTTGTCTAACTGTATTAGGTACAAGTAATGAAGTATCCGTTATACAGCAAAATGTTAACGATCATTGCCCCCCCCCCCCGCACAAAAATTGAGGCTCAAGAGTAAGTGCCCTTTTTACATGGCTGCCCCCGCCACTTGATGTTGCTTCCGGCGCCCCTGACTATTTCGTATTAGAATGCCCAAGGGCAACGGAATATATTTGTTGATGATCATGCCATGATGATGTCTTCATTAACGTTGCCGTTGCATTTACCATGCATGCTCAATGATGATTCAAAGACAATTAATTAAAGTGCCTCTGCGTGATATAATAATCAGTGTTTGACGCGTATCGTTTCTTTTAAGTCTAAACGTCATGCAGTCATGCGGTATTAATTTATGAAAATGAGCTGACACGTATACGGCCGTATAGCCATTTTCAATAGTACTAAATATGAAGCAAAATTTTCGTTTAGCGCCGGTGTAAGATTAAACGGTGTTTACTCAAGTACATACTTTGCTATATTCTGGTTTGATCACTATCCTATATTGAGCCCAAAGGAAGTGAACGACATTTATATACATATTAATTCATCTTGCACAGTAATAAATGCAATAATGAAGCATTAAAGAATAAAGGTATGTTGATATTATCCAATTCTAGCAGTTGACTGTCTACAGTCTTGCCGTTTTGGTCTTTGACTTTGTTTTCAGTCACAAACTGTGCCAGATTTCAGTAAGCAAAAGCCTTCATCGAGCGGCTACTGGTGTAGCAGCTGGAGACATTAAATAGTTTTGTATCTTTCTATATATCTATACTTCATATGCACAGAAACGAAGATGACAGTGTCAGTGTTACTTTCAAAACACTACGAAATCGGATATATATATTTACCAGAATTTTGGGCCGGCATCTCACTCGATATAACTAATTGTTGAAGCCCGGGCTAAATGAAGGGATTTGTAGTCACCACCCCCCTGGACGTGCGCCGTTTTTAGTATTTCCAGGGGGACTGCTTCTGTTTACTGTACTTGCTGAGTGACGAATCATGACGAGTAGAGCTTACGCAAAAACCAATGGAGATTGACTTCTGTGTAGTATTCTGTGGCATGGCCATACCATGGGCATGGAATTTTTTAGATTAGTTGGTATGGTTTAGTTTACGATTTAGCCAACTCTGCAATGCCAATGGCAATGCCAATGGCGGCGATATATTTTGAACTTATAAACTATATCGAGAACTATATAGTATATGAGATTATATGAGATGCAAATAAAAAAAATAATTCAAATACATACCAACATTAGTCATTATACAGTATAATTATTAAATAAAAGATACTTATAACAACTATTAAAAAACTCATTGATAATTCATGAAGAAAACACAAAGAAAAATCATAAGCGTGACAGCGTGTCGTATCTGTATACAGGGTGTATAAAAAAAAACGCAACCTCGGAATTTCCCAAGAAATCGACATTGTTTTAAAGACAAATGATTTTAGGCGCCTGGGAATTTAAAATAGCACAACTGTCAAAATTACTGCACACGCGAGTGCATAAAGCAAAATTTATGCATTTATTTAAATTAATGCACAACAACAGTAATATGATCAAATATGATCTATTAGCAATTCGATTTCAATTCCCAGGGGCCTAAAATCTTTTATGCTTAAGAATTGCAAAGTGATTTCTTAGGAAATTCCGAGGTTGCGTTTTTTTTTTATACACCCTGTATGTGACTGCAGATTCACGTTGATTTACATAAACTTTAACTTTGATTTTCTCGGCTTAGGCCTGTTTCAAACGTCGCACTTCTCATGTGCCGAACGATTGTCTATTGTTTTTAATGCGTTAGGCACATGAGAAGCTTATTGCTGATTATCTATTGTTTTTAATGCGTTAGGCACATGAGAAGCGCGAAGTTTGAAACAGGCCTAAAGGCCTGATTCCACGGGCGCTTTTTCTAGGCGAAATGCGAAATATTTCGCCTGTTTCTTTTGAATTGTGGGCAATCAAGTAGAATAATTTATTCGAGTGGTCGCAATTCAAAAGAAACAGGCGAAATATTTCGCATTTCGCCGAGAAAAAGCGCCTGTGGAATCAGGCCTTAAAGGCCGGATTCCACGAGGCGGAATTTTTCGACCGAAACGAAATTTCTCTTTGTCTTTTTACAATTAGTTCTGCTTGAGAGCTCTGAAACAAAGAGAAATTTCGATTCGGTCGAAAAATTTCGCCTAGTGGAAAACCGCCTTAAGACAACGTTTATTTTTAAAATTACTTCGCCATGCAATGAACTCATAAGATGAGTCATTCTTTTAAGTCATTTACAACATTCGCGTCCGTGTTGTATCGGATATACAAACTCTCGCCTTCGGCTCGAGTTTGTATATCCGATACAACACGTCCGCTCATGTTGTAAACTACATATGTAACTTGTTATATTAGTATGGTGTCTTTTGTTGTGTCTCTATACAGTCACTGTTCGATCCGATTGCTTTCCGTTTACTTCCAGTCTTCGTTAAACAAATAAGGGAAGCCTCACATATCGATTTATATTCCCGCGAGGAATATATAATTTTCTGCTGACATATCTTTTTTTATTAATATATATATGAACTTCAAAGTAGTTCCAACGTTTCTTAAAACAACATTTCTTGCATGAAATATTGATAATTTTAGCGCGTTTTTTCTTGTTGAGTGAAGAAAAGCGTAATAATATAAATGTATATACGTATAGAACAGGTATATGGTATTCTAATAATAAATATTAAAGCCCAGCAAAGTGCTTTTAAATCAGCCATAAACCATTAAATTTAAAATGTTTTAATAAAGAAGTCTTCAGACTATATTTAATTACAAGCTGTAAGAGCATAATTAAGCATAAAGTAAAGCTATCATACCAATATTAAATTA